TCATGTGTCTATTGGTCACCGGTGTATCTTTGAAGAAATGTCTGTGTCTTCTGTTCATTTTCAGTTGGATTATTTGTTTTTTGGGTATTGAGGAGTATCAGTTTATATATTTGGATATATGTTTTTGCAAATACCTTCTTCCATTTAGTAGGGTTGCCTTTTAGTTTTGTTGATTGTTTCCTTTGCTGTGCAGAAGCTTTTTATTTGATGTAGTCCCAATAGTTTATTTTTGCTTTTATTTCCCTTGTCTCGGGAGACATATCTAGAAAAATGTTTCTATGGCTGATGTCAGAGAAATTACTCCCTGTGCTCTCTTTGTAGTTTCAGGTCTCCTATTTAGGTTTTAATCCATTTTGACTTTATTTTTGTGTATGGTGTAAGTTTCATTCTTTTGCATGTGTGTTTCAATTAGAAAATTGGAAGTCTTCAGTTTCACTTGAAACACAATACATCAAATTTAAAAATAAGATGTATATTAAATAATTCATTTTACTTGTTTGTTTTTAGACACCCATCAATTATTTTTATTGATGAGCTGGATGCACTTTGTCCTAAAAGAGAAGGGGCTCAGAATGAAGTGGAAAAAAGAGTGGTAGCATCACTCTTAACACTGATGGATGGCATTGGTTCAGTAAGTATAGTACCAATATCTATTCTGTGTTGTGAAAGCAATGATTCCTAATAATACATATATAGTAGCAAAAACTATCAAATATATCTGAGTTTTGGGATATTATAGGACAGGGAAAAATATTAGCCTTAAAAACTAAAGGAAAGAATCCATAAATTAATTTTCTTCAGCAGATATCTTAGTAACTAGGATGATATAATGCCATGTGTTCCTACCATATAAAAAATAAACAGTGATGGATTTCTTTTGTAGTAAATGGTATTAAAAATCTGAAGCAAAAATCAGTAAGGAAGATTTAGATCAATTTTACTAAGAAATTTCATGAGTAAGTCCTCTATACTCCTATAAAAATTGATTCTTTTGGGGCTTTATGTTTAACAAGTGAAAGAAAACAAAGTGAAAATAATGGAAAATATGTACAACATCTAAAAAGAATCTACCTGTGTTACCACATTCTCTGATAGGGCATTTACTCACACATTAATAAAAACTATGTGCTTATTGGGATCCCTGGGTGGTGCAGCGGTTTGGCGCCTGCCTTTGGCCCAGGGCACGATCCTGGAGACCCGGGATCGAATCCCACGTCAGGCTCCCGATGCATGGAGCCTGCTTCTCCCTCTGCCTATGTCTCTGCTCTCTCTCTCTCTCTCTCTCTCTCTGACTATAATAAATAAATAAAAATTATAAAAAAAAATAAATTTAAAAACTATGTGCTCATTATGAAAGGAAGATCCATAGGAGCAATGGCAGGAATGAAGAAAAATTTTGTCAGACTCCTGTGACAGCCATTTACCAGAATACATTTCTTATGCAGGATTGTAAATAACACAATTTTTAGAGTCATAGTATGTTAGAATCAAAAGAAATTTTAGAAAACATGTACCCCCAAGCCCTCCTTTATACATTAAAAAACTGGACAGTTAGAACTTTCCTACTGGTAGAAACTAAACATGTGAACATAATGTGAAGATTGGGTTTTAAGTCTCCATTATTTGCTAGCGTGTTACAGTTTTTTTTTTTTTAAGATTTATTTATTTTAGAGAGAGTGAGGGAGAGCGAGCTCACGAGCATATGTGTGCAAGTGGGGAGAGGGAAGGAGAAGGAGAGAGAATCTTAAGCAGACTCCCCAGCATAGGACTCAGTCCCACATCCCATGAGATCATGACCTGAGCTGAAATCAAGAGTTGGATGCTCAACTGACTAAGCCATCCAGGTGCCCCAACAATTGTGTTGACAATTTTAAGAGTAACATAAAAGAAGGATACCTGAAGGAGGCTGGATGACCACGTGATTCTAAGTCTTGGTGCAATAACTAGGTGTGATGGTGTCGCAGATTTGGTTCTCAGCCTTTAAAATTGGAGAATTCAATGATGCTAGTATGTTGGAGGTGGCAGGGCTCTGAGAACTGATCCATAGTAACAACACTCACAAAAGATATACATAGGGGATCCCTGGGTGGCGCAGCGGTTTAGCGCCTGCCTTTGGCCCAGGGCGCGATCCTGGAGACCCGGGATCAAATCCCACGTCGGGCTCCCGGTGCATGGAGCCTGCTTCTCCCTCTGCCTGTGTCTCTGCCTCTCTCTCTCTCTCTCTCTGTGTGTGACTATCATAAATAAATAAAAATTTATATAAAAAAAAAGATATACATAAACTGAGATGCCAATTTCTGTTTACAATAAGAAGTAGAATCGGGGATCCTTGGGTGACTCAGCGGTTTAGTGCCTGCCTTTGGCCCGGGGCTCCCTGCATGGAGCCTGCTTCTCCCTCTGCCTGTGTCTCTGCCTCTCTCTCCCCGTGTCTATCATGAATAAATAAATAAAATCTTAAAAAAAAAAAAAAAGGAGAATCATTAAGCCAACCAAATATCTTTGTTTATTGATGACTTTGTTTATGGATGACTCTTTCCACCTTGACTGCGAATATTTCTAGAGAGCTGTATTATAATTAGAACAGTTCTGGTAAGTATGAAATCAGATGGAAGGCTCTGTTTTGGAGGATCTTAATTATTACATCCTTGCTGCCTCTTTCTCTTCTGCTGGGATAGGTCCACTGTGGACTGATATTCTTGCCTATGAGCAGGACTGGAAGCGGGTGACACGGATGTTTAAGTATGAAAATGCTTACAGGCGTGTTTTTGTCTTCTAAATACGTAATTGATAGATTTATTGTAATCCATACATTTTCTGTTGGGACAGCCAGTATAATTGAATAGGTTTCAGTTTCCTTACTTTGAATCACATGTCAGTTAAGCTTGTCTCTGTGGGATTATACTTGGGTCATCAGAATAAAATGTTGGATAACTTTCACAGATGGCTGATCATTATAGTTCTTTATAATTTGTTGTTCCAAATTTCATTCCTATGTGAAAAATCTGTATGCATTCAAGGGTGGCTGATACTCAGATATTGGTTATATTGCTGTCTTTATTACTAGGAATTTAAACATCAGAATAAAAAAAGTACAGTCCACATGTGAATAAGATTTCTAAGACAACTGTATAATAGAGTCTTGTTCTATTTGGATAATGTGCTGGTCATAGTCTTTGTTTCAATTAGGGGGAAAAGGACAAATTAAAACAACTTTATGGTAGGATATTATACGTTCTTATTCATGAAAACAGTGAAGTTTAGATGCCAAAAGGGGGAGAGAGACATCACTATAGTTGGGAAAGTACATAGTGGAAAACTTTCTAGATGAGGGAGTTTTGAGGCTGAACTTAGGAAAATGTGGGATGCGTAATAACAGTGTAAAGGATGAAACTTAGTGTGGACACTTAGATCCATATTATCTATATAGCCAGTACTTCTGTATGTTAAGTATAGATATAGATAGATAATTTCAGATCTGTATAGATATAGATAAGGCAATTGTATGTATTAGTGTTAGAAGAATGTGTAATTTATTCTTATTTTATTTTGTAAGGAAGGAAGTGAAGGCCAGGTGTTGGTCCTTGGGGCCACAAATCGCCCTCATGCCTTAGATGCTGCACTTCGAAGACCAGGACGATTTGATAAAGAGATAGAGATTGGAGTTCCTAATGCTGCAGATCGGCTAGATATTCTCCAGAAATTGCTTCAAAGGGTACCCCATTTACTCACTGAAGTTGAACTGCTACAGCTGGCAAATAGTGCTCATGGGTACGTTGGAGCAGACTTGAAAGCCTTATGTAATGAAGCAGGTAAGTATGCTTTGCTACTGTGAGTCTTATTATTATATCTTATTTCTTGAAATCACTAATTTTTTTCTAATCATGAAATATATGTTTATTGAAAACTAGATAAGTCAGAAAACTATAAAAAAGAAATAAAAATCACTTTTACCTAAAGGTAACCACTGTGATAGTATATATCCTTTCATACTTTTCCTAAGTGTACACACACACACACACACACACACACACACACACACACCTGTATAATTAGATTCATTAATGGCAGTATTGATGGTAACTATTTATTGATATCCTGCTATGGAAATTAGGGAGAAGTGCCTACGGGAGGATCAGAATTTTCCTTAATGAGCCCACTTTGTATTTTTTGAAGTGCTGAAAAAGTACTTAGCAAAATCTAAAAATTCTATACCTCAGAGTATGTGATGGTGATGTTAATGTCTGAAAATGTATAAGGGCTGTTATTAATCAGTTGACTGGCTTTAAGAAATCTATCTAGGCATAACTGTCTTTACTTTGGAAGCCCATAAGACCTTTTAACATTTGTGTAATTTTTCAGAGTAATTTTAACCATGAAAAATGTACTCAAATCAGGGCAGGTTTTATAAGCTATTGAAATATTTCATCAGGCAAATAAGAACTTACTGAAAAAAATATCTCATTGTTGTTTTGTTTTCATTTGTTTGTTGGTCCTAAGAAGATGTGTTTATTTTCTGGTAGCCTCTAAAGGCTGGGCATATACCTCATAGCATCCCTGGTTTGCCAGTAATCTCAGGTTCCTTAAATTTATTCCCTTGGATATATGTTTCTAGGTCCTTTTATACTTTAGAAGGAATTTTTTTCAGTTGTATGCTCTTGTTCCAGTTTGTGACCTATTCAACATTTTCAGAAGATGTTTTACAGAAACTTTAGCCCTTTTAGGTAATGGAAGAAATTGGATTTTTGAGTTGGAAATTTAGTTGTTTTAGAGCTTTAGTATGGAAATATGGTAACTTCAACTTCCAAATTATTGATTCACAATTAATCTAACATAGTAGGTTTTGAAGACCCTTCCTTTAGGCCTTTCATCTTTCTAATCTGGCTCAATATGTGTAGAGAAGAGAATATAGAACAAAAAGCAGGTTTTTTTTTTTTTTTTTTTTTTTTTTTTTTTAAAGGATTTTTATACTATATTTAAAAAACCACAAAATAAAAAAAATAAAAAAGGGATCAATCAACATATATCTTAGAAGTCCTTCCAAGAGTCTCTGTACGCAGCAGCCACACAGGCTGGCTGAGGCCTTTTCCTTCTCTGCTCAGCCTGCAGCTCATTTAAGGATCATCGGAGATGACTCGTGCTCTAGTTCTTAAAATCAGACTTGTTCAGCCAAATCCAAGACCCTGAACTTATCCAAATTGTAGAAACATGCTTTTACCACCCGTCCACCAAAATACCTCCCATTCAGATCAACAACAGCTTTAATTGCTGACTCAACTCTCTCAAACTCTAAAAATATTCGTACTGTTTCATCATCAGGGGCACCAGGAATTTCAAATATCACACATTTTCCAACTTTGCCGTATTTTTCACACTCTTCCTTGGTTTCTGCTTCCAAGTCTTCATCTACCTCTCCTGCACCAACCATGTTCCTTAGGAGGACCACTTTGGTAGGACACTTAAGTATTTCAGTTAATGGATTTGAATCTGACTTCTTGGATGCATCTTTCTCTGTGGCATCACCCACAATGATCTTGCCTCCTCGCTTGCTTGTCTTCTCCACTGACAGTGCTGTGCTCAGCCCTTGTTCGTGCTTCCCAAGACCCTGGCCTTCCCGGAAGCCGTACTTCTGCATGATTTTATGTGCTACTGTGCCACCCATGTTGGCAAGGAAGGAGTTGCCAGGTCCAGTTGGAGATCTGGGTCTGTCTTGTTCCTCGTATACTGGAGGAGGGATAGCAGCTTTGGAAGACTGAGAGCGAGGTCTGGAATCCTCTTCGTAAGGGAAATCTCGGGGTAACTCTTTGTCTTTCTCTACAAGAGAAGTGGGTGGTGCGATGGCAGCTCCGCCCATGCTTCTTTTCCGCCTCTCCCGCTCATAATCCTCATCTTCATCAGAATCTGGATCTGGTCGCCTCGAAAACCCACTAGCTTCATGTCTGTCTTTACGCCTCTTTTCTCTCTCTTCTACTTCTTTCTGTCTTTCCAGCTCCCGCTGTCTCTGTCGTTCCTCTCTTTGGCGTTTCACTACTTTCTCATAATCGTTAGGAAACATGGGATCATATTCATCAGCTAAAGGAATCAAAACTTCTCCTGCAGAAAATCCACTGGGAACAGGATCCTTCAGGCCGGCCGCCACGTGCGGGGGGGTGTCCACGATCTGCCGGTCGTCTGAAGAGCCACCTCGCTTTAGGTCGATTACTGGGGCAAGTACCGTACTCTGTTTCGTTCTCTGGCTCTTTGCTTGTGTGAGAGCTGCCTTCTTGACCTGAAGCTGAGACTGCAGAAGTTTAAAGTTTTTGGACCAGCCTTCTGTTTTTGAATCACTGGTCTCCACTCCCAGGTCATCGTACAGGGACATCTTTCAAGTTTAATGCCGGCCCGCCCGGCCGACTCTCCCCATGGGCCGCGGCGCCGCGGAGACGGAAGCCCGCGACCGCAGCACCCGGGCCCAAAAAGCAGGTTTAAAGAGAAAACTTGGAAGGGATATTTAGGGGTTTTTGAATATCTTACTGTTGGTAGAGAAAATCAGTTTTATTCTTTTTGATCATTATCATAATTTTCATGTTAGAGGACTCACAGTTGGAAACTATAGGTTATATAGGCTACAAGGCAAATACAAACATTCTTTTGGTGCATTTTGGTCCCTTTCTATCTAGTTTCTTGTGCTTCACAAGAAATGGTGGGTTTAGTCATGAAAATGAATTCCCTAGCGAACAAGAAGTATCCGGGGATAACTTTGTTTCCTTCATTCCATTAGGTGATAATGAAGAGTCTGGATTACTATTTAGGTATTGCTTTGGATTTCACCATCTAGGCAAGGATTCATTCTTCAATATCCTTTATCAGGCTTTTTTTTTTTTAACTTTCTCATATATTTCATGCACTCTCGAAGGCTCTGGGCTTCTTGCTGTCCAGAAAAAAGATGAAAGAAAGAGATTTGTGAATAACTACTTACACAGTGAGATATATACTCATTAAACTATGGAGAATGTAGTGACTTTTCCTATGGGGAGAGGAATGCTATGATTATATAGAAAAGTCACATCTAAGAAGAAGCTTAAAAAAAAGTTCCACAGGCAGAATAAGGCAGGTGAGAAGGTGGGAAAGGGAATACATTCTTTCCCACTGATCCTCACACCAACCTTGTGATATGAGTATCAGATAGACTCAGGAGAGGTCTCACAGCTGGTATGTGTCAGAGCTAAGATTTAAATTTAAGATCCTTTTATTCCAAATCTATGCTGTGCATCAAAATTAAATCATAAAACACATGATTTTGTCAAAGTGGTGTAAGGCTTTTTTTATTTTATTTTTTATTTCAAAGGTAAGTATAATCTGTAAATTAAGTTGTGTCCTGGGACATCAAGGGGAAATGTGATAAAGTAATTTACATACTAGATATAAATAGGACCATCTACCCTCATGGGCACTGTAGTAACCCCAAGAACTTTAGGGGAATAACAAGAAGATTTAAAAGATTGTACCCTGTTACATTTAATTTAAATTACTATGTTACATTTAATTTAAAAAGTTGTGAAAGGATGAGAAAGTGGGATGAAGAGGGGCCTCCAACCTGAAGATAGAGGGGTGAGAGAAAAAGAGGGAGATATGGGGTATACTTGGCACATACAAGCAGTAAATAAATAGTAACTTCTATTAATGTGACTTAATAGTAATTTCAAATTATCAGTATTGAACTGATCTTTTTTCCTCTAGTCTGTGAATTGGTTTATGAGAAGGTAGTTTTTAAAAAGATTAGCATTAAAATTAAAGTGTCCAGTAGGGAAAATAGGTGGTTTTGTGTATACTGTCTTAAATACTAACATATGATTTGTTATGTAGTTTCATTCTCTATATAGCAGAATAAAGTTTAAGAACCATGTAGTAGAAAGGTGTTTTTCCAAAGAAGCAGGGGATATAGTAGAAAATGGATTTTGAGAGTTGGACAGACCTGCTTTTAAAATCAGGCTTGTGACCTTCTTGGCCTTATCTGAGCTTTAGTTTTCTACATTTGTACATTTAGAGGGTTGTGGCAGGTGATACTCTAAGTGCCCTTGTAAATATGACATTCCTAGATATAAGGGAGAACGAAAAAGAAATGGGGAAAAATCAAAAAGAAAGGATGGGAAAATTATAAAAAAGGGGAAAATAACTACCAACTTAACTTACTAAATGTGGCCTGGCCTCATTACTTTCTTCATACACTTGGCCTGTCTGCCCTTCATTGTCTTCTCTTTAGTATCTGTTTTTTGAATAACTTAAATGTAAGTGGTTAGGGCTTGCTCCCACAGCGTTTTTAGAGAGAGTGCCACAAAACATACTAATGTCCATTGTGAAGTTATAGTTAACTACATTTTCTTATTGAAACAATTTTATAATTTCCGATTGTGGACTTGACATGAGTAAATTATTAATTTGGCTAATAGTGCAACTCAGAAGGGAAGATGAAATAACTCTAAAACTCAGTAAGCATTAAAAATAGTAGAATTACATTCCAAGTGCTATAGAATAGGCATAAGCATGTCCCACACATTGAACACACAGGGGTATCCATCCCCATATATTATGATGTGCATATTAAGCATAGGAAGAATAAACTCAGCTTTGTGGTAAATTTAAGCTACTCTCCTAGTTTAAAAAACTGGGCACTTAATATTGCATCCTACCTAAATTTAGAGGGGTTATTAGGAAATAATATGAATGGCTCTCAGTCTTTTAAAATGACTACCTAGGGGAGGTTTGAATTGGTGCCTTTTATTTTTTTAAAACCTGTTAAGTTTCCTTGGGCAAATAGAAGCAGTTGCAATCATTACATTCACCTTAGAGAATCACTGTTTTTTTTAAAAAGTCATGATGATATATTAATATTTGGAGGTAGTAGTAATTTCTGGTACATAGTAGGTGCTCAATAAGTGTTTGATCTGAGAAATATATGTGAAAGCTGGGAGACATAATGAGACTACCACCCCACTGCCCTTGTAGAGCAATAAAAATGTTTATTAACCTGAGAGTTGAATCGGTGTTGTTTTTAAACCCCTGGTGAGATTCATGTTCCTCTCTCCTCTATTGCCTTCAGAAATCCCTGTCTGTGCTGAAAAAACAACCCCAAGTGGCTATTGCTACCTTTATAGGTAGCAGTAAATAAGGTATTATTTTGTGATGCCCAGATCACTATTTTCTTGAACATTCCAGTCCATTTTTAGCATCCTACTAACAAGATTTCTCAGTCATGGCTCTGACTGTGGACTTTATATTTTGTTTAAAACCAGTGCTTTTCAGAAGGCACTTTTCATTGTTTGCCAGTTGTGCTATGTTTGCGTGGACAGCTTGAGAATGTCCACTGGCATATCTGGGAAGTAAAGGCACTTTAACTTCCAGATTTGTGAGGACAGTGAGATAGTCTAGCTCCAGGAGATGTATTCCTGAGTACATAAGTTAATTCTATCTCTTTCTGTAATTTGTTCTTCTCCACGAAATCCACATTCATTTCATACGTGCTCAGTTCAGGTGGGATCACTTGGAGCAGAGGTTCTCAGATCTGCTCATGTATCAGAATCACTTGGAGAACGTAGTAAACAGATTGCTGGGTGTGTGCCACTCCCAGAGTTGCTGATTCAGTCTTGGCTGGTGCTTGTGAATTTTAACAAGTTCACAGCTGATGCTGTTGGTCTGCAGACCACACTTTGAGAGCCACTAACTTAGGTAAGACATTGGTTCTTAAACCTCATTATGCATCAGGTTCACCTGGGAAGCTACACACACACATTCCCTCTCCATATTTAATTAAATTAAGGGAAGTAGGGAACTGGAGCCAGTATTTGTTTTCCTACTGATTTTAAAGCAGCCAGTCTTGCAGTTGCCTATGAACAAATATTCTGAATTATTGGTTTAGGCCAGTGGTTCTCCAGTTTTAACCCGCATAAAAATCACATGTAGAGCTTGTTAAAACAGAATTCTGGGCCCCATCCTACTGATTTATTAGGTCCAGGTGGGGCCCAAGAATTTGCATTTCTATCAAGTTACAGGAACTATCAATGCTGTGGATGCCAGGCTATACTTTGAGAAGCAATCATCTTGGCTCACTAACCCTGTTTTTTGGAGGCTCTGTAACTGACTTAAATAACTAGATAAATTTAGGGACTGTAAATCTCTGACTACCTCTGATGGTGTTGAGTTTTCCCCCCGAGTCTTTTTTATGTGACAGTTGTACTATTCTGAACTATATCATTTAACTCTCTTTCTAGGAGAAAATAAGTATCCAAGTTTGCCTTGTAGGTACATATAATGGTTCTGAATAAAAGTTAAAATTAACCTTTCTGAAAGTTAGAACAGCCACAATTAAGGAAAATGTTAAGAATTAACAATTAAGAATACAAATAAAAATATAGACTTACGTTTTTCCTAGAACATTTCCTTCCTTAAGATTTGTGGACCTGTGTGTTCTTTGCGTTTTTTGCTCATTGGCTGTCTAATAGTTTTCCTTCTTTCTAGAGTGCCTTCTAGTCAGGGAAACCTTGCCCTTTTTAACAAAGAGTGGTACACAGGTGTCTAATAATAGCATAAGTAAAGTGATTCAGATTTTCATTTAACCTAAGTGGATTATGTTTCCCATTGTTTTTTGTAATTTAAAGGTTACTGTTTGTGGGATACTAATACAAAAGATCAAAGTCTTTAGAATATTACTTGTTTGTGCATTATTTTCCAGGGCTAGAAGTTTTTTACAATCTATTCCAGTTTGTGAGAGTGATCTACATCTTCTACAGGGTGCTTATCTCAATTTTTATAATCTTTTCCAGTGTTATTAATAGTTTCTGTATCTTTTAATTTTGTCCTCATAGTGAATATGAAAATTGGAAATACCACAGTAGTGTTGCTTTCAGCACTTGGATCTTTTATCTGAACAGATACAATGTTTAAATATTGAGGGTTGGGTGTGAAACTTACTTTCAAATGTTATGGTTTTTTTACAATTAATTTTTGAGCTAGAGTGTGGTTTGATATGTTGTGACTTGTCCAAAAGCCTAATGTTTTGTAGCTCACCTTTTTAAGCAAAGAGCAGCTGCATTTTGAAATGTTTTATCTCAAGCGGACAAGTTGTTTACAAGCTCAACTCTGACACATCCTGACATTTAATATCTATGTTTGTATTCTTCCTGGGATTAGGCTGCCTTTCTAATTAATTAGTTGCATAGCCTTTTATTAATTCCCTTAAAATTTATACTGTTTTAAATTAACAACATAGATAAGCATACCACACTTTTTTGGAAAACATGAAATGTTAATTATGTAGCAGAGACATGAATTATATAAACTCTGCTGAATGTTAGAAGATGCTTAGCAACAATGTTTTCCAAATATAGGGATTTATTATAAACTTATCCTTCTAAGGCTGCCTGTGCCATTTCAGGAGAGTGAATATAAATAGAGCTTGATTTCTTCAAGA